GGGCAAGGGAGGCTGCAGTCCTAGTGATCACCACAAGGCGGCGTCAGCGATGGGTGGAACGCACAGACAGGAAGGAGGACAATGGAACGCAGATCTCCATCTCCTGATGGGAGGAAGTCATCGCTGGACCTGGAAGGAGAAGGTAACAATGTATACAATATCTTCTCCCAATTCTTCATCAGATAGAAGGATAGATGGGCGGGGGGCCCGGGGTAGACAGCCAGCGTCTTCACTGACATACATCACGCAACCTGTCCGTCTAGGGCTCACGTTCTGCACCCGAGCAACGCCGGTCACCGCGAGGTCCCACAGAAAACAATGGTTCACCCAGATGGGAAAATACATTGCGGCTTGGCTTTTATCACAATGTATCAGAGCTCGGCGGACGCCATTGTCCCCCCCCACCTCCCAACTGGATGATCAAAATGCCAAATCCTCATTACTATATATATATATATATATATATATATATATAAAAAAAACAAAAGGCACCGCCCCCAGCGCCGACCTTATCGCTCACGGTCTGCTGTGAACCGACCCCAGGGGTCCTATTGGAACATATGTGTGTGTGTGGCGGCGTCAGGGAATAAGGGTTGGATGGTATTTTATTTATTTATGTATTTATTGTCATTTCATTTTAAGTTATTAATGTTTAATATCATTTATTTATTTAATAATACATTTTATATATACAAAATTTTTATTTTATTATTTTTTTATAAAAAAAAGATATCAATATTATAATATACTACATATAAATAAATATTAATGTTATATATATATATATATATATATATATATATATATATCTACAATTCAGTACTGTCCATGATACTTTTTTTATTTGCACTAACATACAATTTTGAGGACAAGCTTTCGGGGAGTGTCCCCTTCTTCAAGGTCCAAGCAGTACAGTACTGAATTGTTTCTGTCGCAAGTGCACTAATACGGCTACAATCACCTCAAGCTATATATATATATATATATATATATATATATATATATATATATATAATATAATTTTCCCTCATGTTGGAAAGCACTGCACAAACCATCGGTGCTATATAAATCCTGTATTATAATAATAATAATAATAATAATAAATGTGTATATATAAAAGCAAATGGCACTGCCCCCTTATCGCTCACAGTCTGCTGGGAACCGACTCCAGGGGTCCTATCGTAACATGTATGTGCGTGAGGGAATAAGGGTTTGATGGTATTTTATTTATGTATGTATTTAATGTCGTTTCATTTCAAGTTATTAATGTATTTATATATTTAATATAATTTATTTATTAATTAAAAAAAAAAAAAAATATATATATATATATATATATATATATTTTTTTTTTTTTTATTTAAATTTTATAAAAAATATGATATCATTAATATTATAATATACTGCATATATATAATATACTTTTTTTAAATTATTTTTCCTTTATGTTGTAAAGCACTGCACAAACCATTGGTGCTATATAAATCCTGTATAATAATAGTAATAATAAAAGTAATATATATGTATATGTATATATATGTGTATATGTATATGTGTATATGTATATATATGTATATGTGTATATATATATATATATATATATATATGTGTATGTATATGTTTATTTTATTTTTTAATGAAAAATATGATATTAACCTCTTCACGCAGGCCGCACACAAATGCGGCCTCCCGGCATCTGGGCCTAGAAGCCGAGCGGACGCACATTTGTGTGCAATTAAGAAAAACTGAGAGCGCGCGCCCTGGGCACTCCCGGCACACATGTCCGGTACTGACGGAAAGGTCCCGATCTCCTCTTTCGATAAGGACCTTTTCCGATCATGTGACCGCTGTGACGGCGAATCATGGCGGTCACATGACCCTAAAACCCCGCCTCCCGGCTTCTGAAACCCTTAAAGGGCCAAGAGGCGCCGGCGCCAAGGGGTTAAAATTATAATATACTGCATATAATTAAATAAATGTATGAAATAAATATATATATATATTAGATATCGATGTCCAGCCATAGTCATGTGATGAGCAGACAGTAGACCTCCACTCTCCATGAATGCCCCGTTGATGTGTATGAGTAAGCTCGGTAGATCTCGATGTCCAGCCATAGTCCTGTGATGAGCAGGGAGTAGACCTCCACTCTCCATGAAGGCCCATTGATGCGTATGAGTAAGCTCGGTAGATCTTGATGTCCAGCCATAGTCCTGTGATGAGCAGAGAGTAGACCTCCACTCTCCATGAAGGCCCCGTTGATGCGTATGAGTAAGCGCGGTAGATCTCGATGTCCAGCCATAGTCCTGTGATGAGCAGACAGTAGACCTCCACTCACCATGAAGGCCCCGTTGATGGGTATGAGTAAGCTTGGTAGATCTCGATGAGCAGACAGTAGACCTCCACTCTCCATGAAGGCCCCGTTGATGATGGCTTTTTAGTCACATCGATGAAACCCATTATATAGTATCATTCGCAGTCTCCATGTTGAGTGGGCGGTATATGGGATTATATCCTAAGATCATCATCAACATTATTATTTTATTAATATTATACAGTATTTATAAAGCACCAACGGTTCGCTCAGCACTGTACATTACAATGGGGGACAGTACATGCGACAGTACAATAACAATACAATGTGGTACACGAGGGTTCGAGGGCCCTGCTCCTTCGAGCTTACAATCTAGGAGGGAGGGGTTAGTGGTACAGGAGGAGATAGTTGTGGGGGATGGAGTGGTAGGAAGAGTGGAGGAGGTCGGCAATTAGCAGGGGGTGGGGTAGGCTTCCCTGAAGAGGTGGGTTTTCAGGGTGCGCCTAAATGAGAGGAGAGTAGGTGATAGTCTGATGGATTGGGGTAGGGAGTTCCAGAGGATGGGTGACGCCCTGTAGAAATCCTGGAGGCGGGCATGGGAGGAGGAGACCAGGGAACTAGAGAGAAGGAGGTCTTGTGAGGAGCGGACAGTGTGTTTTGGGTGGTACTTGGATATTAGGTCAGTGATGTAATTTGGGGCAGTATGGTGGACAGCTTTGTACGTCAGTGTTAGGATTTTGAATTTGATCCGTTGGGCAATCGGAAGCTAGTGGAGGGATTGGCAGAGGGGGGTGGTGGAAACTGAGTGGTTTGTAAGGTGAATGAGTCTGGCTGGCGTGTTCAGGATCGACTGAAGTGGGGATAGCCTGTGGCGAGGCAGGCCAGTGAGGAGGGAGTTGCAGTAGTGGAGTCGTGATATGATGAGGGAGTGGATGAGCTGTTTAGTGGTTTCTGGGGTTAGGAACGTGCGGATGATGCGGAGGTGGAGTCTGCATGAGTTTGTTAGTGATTGGACTTGGGGCTGGAAGGATAGGTTGGAGTCCAGAATGACACCAAGTACTCTGGCCTGTGGGGCGGGCCTGATAGTGGCATTGTTGGACATGATGGAGAAGTCAATGGGTGGTGGTGTGCGGGCTGGGGGGAAGACTTCAGTTCAGTTTAAGGAAGAAGAGCGACATCCAGTCTGATATGTTGTTTAGTAGGTTTGTGATTCAGACGGAGACTGAAGGGGTGAGGCGAGGGGTTGAGAGACAGATTTGTGTGTCGTCGGCATAGAGGTGGTAGTTGAAGCCCTGAGAGTGTATGAGTTTGCCAAGGGAGGAGGTGTAGATGGAGAAGAGAAGGGTCCTGAGTTCGGACCTTTGAGGGATGCCAACAGAGAGGGGGAGTGAGGGGGAGGTGGTAGCATTATACGTAACGCTGAAGGAGTGTTGTGATAGGTAGGACGAGAGCCAGGAAAGAGCGGAATCTCTGAGGCCGAGGGAGTGTAGTTTTTTGAGGAGGAGGGGGTGGTCAACTGTGTCGAAGGCCGCAGAGAGGTCAAGGAGTAGGAGCACTGGATAGTGGCAATTAGCTTTGGCGGTTAGAAGGTCGTTGGAGAGTTTGAGTAAGGCAGTTTCGGTGGAGTGTAGGGGACGGAAGCCGGGCTGTAGGGGATCGAGGAGGTTGTTGTCGTTGAGGTGAGCGCTTAGGTTTAGACCAACATCATTCCATAGAACCCTGCAGCTGCTGTGTGGATAATAAAGTAGATGTCTGTTTTTTTTCTATATAAAGAACATTGTAGATCACACAATTTTCTCCAAGATGGACGAAGACCAGAACCATTTAATGGACAGGATATTACACCTCACCCTGGAGATCATCTACCTACTGACCGGAGAGGTGAGGAGGATTCTGGGATGTGGCATGACATTGCTCATGTTTTTTATTGCAGATTCCAGAAATATCTTGACATCGTTGTTTTATTACAGAGATTTCCTCTTCTGAAGTCAGATGACCATATGACCATCACAGTGCCTCCATGTGACTCCCTAAACCCTGAGAGACACAACATGCAGAAGATTCTAGAAGTTACCAAGATGATGATGGAGCTGCTGACAGGAGAGGTGAGGAGTATTCTGGGATTGTCATTCATGAAAATCTGGGACATTTTCCCGTAGCAGACACGGGAGGTGTCTGGATGGTGACTGTATCATTGTGTGTGTCAGGTTCCTATAAGGTGTCAGGATGTCACTGTCTATTTCTCCATGGAGGAGTGGGAGTATTTAGAAGGACACAAGGATCTCTACAAGGACATCATGATGGAGGACTACCAAAAAGGACACAAGGATCTCTACAAGGACCTCATGATGGAAGACCACCAAAAAGAACACAAGGATCTCTACAAGGACCTCATGATGGAGGACCACCAAAAAGGACACAAGGATCTCTACAAGGACATCATGATGGAAGATCACCAGAATAAACACGAGGATCTCTACAAGGACAGAATGATGGACAATCGGCCACCCCTCACATCACCGGGTAAGAGGAGACTTTATTGGAAAGGAGAGAGCAGTACGGAGGATCCACTTAGATCCCCCATCATCTGATAAACACATAGAAACAATAGATTCAGTCAGTGTGTGTGTTTCCTACAGATGGATCCAGTCATGGGAACCCACCAGAGGGATGTCCCCGTCCTCTGTATTCCCGGGATTCCACACAGGAAGATCAGTGTTATGAGGTAGATTGACCCAACAAATCCCATCAAAGAAAAAGAATGTCATTATATTGTATAGTTTTTCATTATTTTTGCATTTTTGTGTTGTTTTGTTATTTAGGATGAAGACCAAATTTCTCAAGAAGAAAATGTTGGGAAAATACACCGGTCTCCAGCGAGCAGCCCAACTTATGAAGAGGAGGACTTTGTTTCAGAAATTAGAACAGGTCAGAAACAAAAGCAGTACATTGAATAGTTCCGCGGCTTTCCTCCTCTAGAACTTTCTGTTGGTCTTTTTCTGATCCTCTTCCATTTTTCTCTTCCCTCTTTGTTGGTCTCATCCTGTTTCTTGGTTGCTTTTCTCTTCCTCTATGTTGGTCTATTCCTTGTCCAATCTTCTCTTCCTGTATGTTGGTCTCTTCGTGTTCCTCTGTCTCTCATTTCTTCAGCTGTGTTGGTCTCTTCCTGTTCCTCAGTTGCTCCTCTCTTTTTCTGTGTTGGTCTCTTCCTGTTCCTCCATTGCTCTTCTCTTCCTCTGTGTTAGTCTTTTCCAGTTTCTCAGTGGCTGTTCACTTCATCTTTGCTGATCTCTCTGTGTTCCTCATTTGCTCCTCTCTTCCTATGTGTTGGCCTCTTCCTGTTCCTCTGTCACTCTTCCTCTGTGTTGGTCTCTTCCTGTTCCTCAGTGGCTCTTCTCCTTGCCTATATTGTTCTCTTCCAGTTCCTCAGTTGCTCCTCTCTTCCTCTTTGTTGGTTTCTTCGTGTTCCTTATCGGCTCTTCATGTTCTCTGATTCAGTCTCTTCCAGTTCCTCCTCTCTGCCTCTGTGTTGGTCTTTTCCAGCTCCTCAGTCGCTATTTTTGTCCTCTGTATTAGTCTCTTCCAGTTCCTCAGTGGCTGTTCTCTTCATCTTTGCTGATCTCTCTGTGTTCCTCATTTGCTTCTCTCTTCCTCTGTGTTGGTCTCTTCTTCTTCTTCTGTCACTCTTCCTCTGTGTTGGTCTCTTCTTCTTCTGTCACTCTTCCTCTGTGTTGGTCTCTTCTTCTTCCTCTGTCACTCTTCCTCTGTGTTGGTCTCTTCTTCTTCTTCTCTGTCACTCTTCCTCTGTCACTCTTCCTCTGTGTTGGTCTCTTCCGGTTCCTTAGTTGCTCCTCTCTTCCTCTTTGTTGGTTCTTCGTGTTCCTTATCAGCTGTTCATATTCTATGATTCAGTCTCTTCCAGTTCTTCCTCTGTGTTTGTTCTCTTCCATTTCCTCAGTTGTTCCTCTCTTCCTCTGTGTTGTTCTCTTCCGGTTCCTCAGTTGCTCTTCTCTTCCTCTGTGCTAGTCTCTTCCGGTTCCTCAGTTGCTCCTCTCTTCCTTTGTACTGGTCTCTTCCGGTTCCTCAGTTGCTCCTCTCTTCCTCTGTGCTGGTCTCTTCCGGATCCTCAATTGTTCCTCTCTTCCTCTGTACTGGTCTCTCCCGGTTCCTCAGTTGTTCCTCTCTTCCTCTGTGTTGTTCTCTTCCAGTTGCTCAGTTTCTCCTCTCTTCCTCAGTGCTGGTCTATTCTGGTTCCTCAGTTGCTCCTCTCTTCCTCTATGCTGGTCCCTCCCAGTTCCTCAGTTGCTCTTCTCCTCCTCTGTGTTGTTCTTTTTCTGTTCCTCAGTTGCTCTTCTCTTCCTCAGTGCTGGACTCTCCTGGTTCCTCAGTTGCATCTCTCTTCCTTTGTGCTGGTCCCTCCCAGTTCCTCAGGTGCTCTTCCCCTTCTCTTGTTGTTCTCTTCCTTTCCGTTCCTTAGTTGCTCTTCTCTTCCTCTGTGCTGGTCTCTTCCGACTCCTCAGTTGCTCCTCTCTTCCTCTGTGCTGGTCTCTCCCAGTCCCTCAGTTGCTCTTCTCTTCCTCTGTGCTGGTCTCTCCAGGTTCCTCTGTTGCTCTTCTCTTCCTCTGTGCTGGTCTCTCCCAGCCCCTCAATTACTCTTCTCTTCCTCTTTGTTGTTCTCTTCCAGTTCCTCTGTTGCTCTTCTCTTCCTCTGTGTTGGTATCTTCCAGTTCCTCAGTTGCTCTTCTCTTCCTCTGTGCTGGTCTCTTCCGGTTCCTCAGTTGCTCTTCTCTTCCTCTGTGCTTGTCTGTCCCAGTTCCTCAGTTGCTCTTCTCTTCCTCTGTGTTGGTCTCCTCCAGGTTCCTCTGTTGCTCTTCTCTTCCTCTGTGTTGTTCTCTTTTTCTTCCCTCATTTGCTCTTCTCTTCCTCTGTGCTGGTCTCTCCAGGTTCCTCTGTTGCTCTTCTCTTCCTCTGTGTTGTTCTCTTCCGGTCCCTCCGTTGCTCTTCTCTTCCTCTGTGCTGGTCTCTCCAGGTTCCTCTGTTGCTCTTCTCTTCCTCTGTGCTGGTCTCTCCCAGCCCCTCAGTTGCTCTTCTCTTCCTCTTCTTGTTTGTTCTCTTTCCAGTTCCTCAGTTGCTCTTCTCTTCCTCTGTGTTGGTCTCTTCCAGTTCCTCAGTTGCTCTTCTCTTCCTCTCTGTGTTGGTATCTTCCTGTTCCTCAGTTGCTCTTCTCTTCCTCTGTGCTGGACTCTCCTGGTTCCTCAGTTGCATCTCTCTTCCTCTGTGCTGGTCCCTCCCAGTTCCTCAGGTGCTCTTCCCCTTCTCTGTGTTGTTCTCTTTCCAGTTCCTTAGTTGCTCTTCTCTTCCTCTGTGCTGGTCTCTCCCAGTTCCTTAGTTGCTCTTCTCTTCCTCTGTGCTGGTCTCTCCAGATTCCTCTGTTGCTCTTCTCTTCCTCTGTGCTGGTCTCTCCCAGCCCCTCAATTACTCTTCTCTTCCTCTTTTTTTGTTCTCTTCCAGTTCCTCAGTTGCTCTTCTCTTCCTCTGTGCTGGTCTCTTCCGGTTCCTCATTTGCTCTTCTCTTCCTCTGTGCTTGTCTGTCCCAGTTCCTCAGTTGCTCTTCTCTTCCTCTGTTGTTGGTCTCCTCCAGGTTCCTCTGTTGCTCTTCTCTTCCTCTGTGTTGTTCTCTTCCGGTCCCTCATTTGCTCTTCTCTTCCTCTGTGCTGGTCTCTCCAGGTTCCTCTGTTGCTCTTCTCTTCCTCTGTGTTGTTCTCTTCCGGTCCCTCCGTTGCTCTTCTCTTCCTCTGTGCTGGTCTCTCCAGGTTCCTCTGTTGCTCTTCTCTTCCTCTGTGCTGGTCTCTCCAGGTTCCTCTGTTGCTCTTCTCTTCTCTTCCCTCTGTGCCGGTCTCTTCCAGTTCCTCTGTTGCTCTTCTCTTCCTCTGTGTTGTTCTCTTCCGGTCTCTCCGTTGCTCTTCTCTTCCTCTGTGTTGTTCTCTTCCGGTCCCTCCGTTGCTCTTCTCTTCCTCTGTGCTGGTCTCTCCAGGTTCCTCTGTTGCTCTTCTCTTCCTCTGTGCTGGTCTCTCCCAGCCCCTCAGTTGCTCTTCTCTTCCTCTGTGTTGGTATCTTCCAGTTCCTCAGTTGCTCTTCTCTTCTTCTCTGTGCTGGTCTCTCCAGGTTCCTATGTTGCTCTTCTCTTCCTCAGTGTTGGTCTCTAACTGTTCCTCCGTCGCTCTTCCTCTGGATTGTTGTGTTCAGTTGTACAAACATTTTTCTTTTGTTATTTATTGACAGATGAGAATGACATCCGAGAACATTCCAGTTGCCATCTCCTCTTACCGCAGTATTGTAAAGAAGAAGATGACCTGTCATATGATCCTTCAGAAGAACATGACCTTAGCCCAGAGATGTTTCCAGGATTCAGCAATTTGGATAGATCTCCAGATGCTTCTAATTCAGTGGAATCTCCTAATAAGTTACATGCACTTCCTTTAAGGACTCACCAAGGGATCTGCGGTGTGGACACCTTACCGGATCCCTCTAAGCCTGATGAATATTCTCCCCTTCAGTCAGACTCCATTACCTTGAATCTCCTTCCAGAACTGCAGAGTGTGGGCAGATTTATTGATTGTTCTAATCTCATACAGTGTTCTCCCATTAAATCTGAGCCTACTACCTCAGATATCGATTCAGTACCTTACAACACAGACAGGCATCAGGCAGGATTTCTGCACCACAACCAAAGCAGTATCACACAAAGACTGGCACACAAAGGCCGCAGGACCTATCAGTGTCCCGAATGTGGCAAAAGCTTCAACCACAGTGGCAACCTTATTGTACATCGCAGAATCCACACGGGTGAGAAGCCCTTTCAGTGTTCTCACTGTGGAAAAGCTTTCGCCCATCGGTCAAACCTTGTCCAGCACCAGATTGTGCACAGAGGACAGGCATCATTACCATCTGTGGTGTATAGGAATGGCCTAAGAGGACAGGCACCATTATCATCTACAATGTACAAGAATGGCCTAAGAGGACAACCAATGCCACCATCCACTGTGCATGGGAATGGCCTAAGAGGACAACCAATGCCACCATCCACTGTGCATGGGAATGGCCTAAGAGGACAATTATTGCCACCAGCCACTTTGCATGGAAATGGCCTAAGAGGACAAACAATGCCACTATCCACTGTGCATGGGAATGGCCTAAGAGGACAACCAATGCCACCATCCACTGTGCATGGGAATGGCCTAAGAGGACACAGTCAGTGCCACCATCCATTTTGCATGGGAATGGCCTAAGAGGACAGTCAATGCCATCATCCACTGTGCATGGGAATGGACTAAGAGGACAGCCAGTGCCACCATCCACTGGGAATGGAAATGGCCTAAGAGGACAACCAATGCCACCATCCATTGGGAATGGAAATGGCCTAAGAGGACAACCAATGCCACCTCCATTGGGAATGGAAATGGCCTAAGAGGACAACCAATGCCACCATCCATTGGGAATGGAAATGGCCTAAGAGGACAGCCCAATGCCACCATCTATTGGGAATGGAAATGGCATAAAGAGGACAGGCAGCCTCATCAACTGCTATGTATGGAAACATCTTAGGAGGACCAGCACTGCCACCATCCACTGTGTATGGAAATGGTTTAGGAGCATCTATACCACCACTATCCACCATATATGGAAATGGCTTAGGAGGACAGACATCACCATCTGATTTGTATATGGAACAGTTCATCTCCGATACTGGGAGCCAGGAGACAACAGAGTGACGTATTTTCATAATTACTCTCCATTCTGCAACATTTTCCTTTTGCTCTTTTGTGTGACTCTCCTCTCCTTCTTCTTTGTGGCCTCTTCCCCCTCTCCTCTTTAACTCTTCTCCTCTGATTTGTGGTCTCCTCCCCCCTTCCCTCTGTAACTCTTTTCCTCTGATTTGTGTTCCCCCCCTTCCCTCTGTAACTCTTCTCCTTGGATTGTGGCCCTCCTCCTCTCCCTTTCCCTATGTAATGTTTTTCCTCTTTGTGGCCCCCCCCCCCCCCCCCCCTTTTTTTCTGTAACTTTTCTCCTAAAGATTTTGTGGCCTCCTCCCCTTTACTCTGTAACTCTTTCTCCTTGGATTTTTTGTGGTCCCATCCCGTCTGTAACTTTTCTCCTCTGATTTGTAGCCTCCTCCTCTTCCCTCTATAACTCTTTTCCTCTGATTTGTGGCCTCCTCCCCCTTCCCTCTGTAACTCTTTTCCTCAGATATGTGGCCTTCTCCCATTCTTCTGTAGCTTTTCTGCACTGATTTGTAGCCTCCTCCTCTTCCCTCTCTATAACTCTTTTCCTCTGATTTGTGGCCTCCTCCCCCTTCCCTCTGTAACTCTTTTTTCAGATATGTGGCCTTCTCCCATTCTTCTCTGATAGCTTTTCTGCTCTGATTTGTGGCCTCCTCTCTCTGTAACTCTTTTCCTCTGATTTGTGTTTCCCCCCCCCCTTCCCTCTGTAAACTCTTCTCCTTGGATTTGTGGCCTCCTCTCCTTTTCCCTATGTAATGCTTTTCTTCTGATTTGTGCCCCCCCCCCCCTTCCCTCTGTAACTTTTTCTCCTTTAGATTTGTGGCCTCCTCCCCCCCTTTATTCTGTAACTCTTTCTCCTTGGATTTGGCCTGTGCCCCCTCCCCATCCCCTCTGTAACTTTTCTCCTCTCCATTTGTAGCCTCCTCCTCCTCTGGGACTCTCTATAAACTCTTTTCCTCTGATTTGTTGGCCTTCCTCCCCCTTCCCTCTGTAACTCTTTTCCCAGACCTTTCTCAGATTTTAATGTGGCTCTCTTTGTGGCCTTCTTCTTTCCCCTGTATCTTTTTCTGCTTCTGATTTTGTGGCCTCCTCCCCTTCCCCTCTGGAACTCTTCTTCTTTTCGATTTTGGCCTCCTCCCCCTTCCCTCTTTAACTCTTTTCCTCTTATGTGGCCTTCTCCATCTTGTCTATTTCTCCCTCCCTCTTTAGCTTTTCTGCTCTGATTTGTGGCCTCCTCACCTTCCCCTCTGGAACTCTTTCTCCTCTCGATTTGTGTTCCTCCTGCCCCTTCCCTCTGTAACTGTTCTCCTCTGATTTGTGGCCTCCTCTCTCTTCCCTCTTAACTGTCCTCTCTTCTCTTTGTAGTCTTTTCCCCCTTTTCCCTCTGTAACTTTTCTCCTCTGATTTGTGACCTTCTTTCCCCCATCCCTCTGTAACTTTTCTGCTTGGATTTGTGGTCCCCCCCCCATTCCTCTGTAACTCTTCTCTGATATTTGTAGCCTCCTTCTCTCTTCCCTCTGTAACTCTTTTCCTTGCATTTGTGGCCTCCTCCCCTTCCCCTCTGTAACTCTTCTCCTTGCATTTGTGGCCTCCTCCACTTCCCCCTCTGTAACTCTTTCTTGCACTTGCATTTGTAGCCTCCTCCACTTCCCCTCTGTAACTCTTTTCCTCGCATTTGTGGCCTCCTCCCTTCCCTCTGTAACTCTTCTTCCTTGGATTTGTGGCCCCCTTCCCCTTCCCTCTGTAACTTTTTTCTCTTATTTGTGGCTTCTCCTCTTCCCTATGTAACTCTTTTCCTCTGATTTGTGTTCCCCCCCCCCCCTTCCCTCTGTAACTCTTCTCCTTGGATTTGTGGCCTCCTCTCCTTTTCCCTATGTAATGCTGCTTTTCCTCTGATTTGTGCCCCCCCCCCCATTCCCTCTGTAACTTTTCTCCTTAGATTTGTGGCCTCCTCCCCCTTTATTCTGTAACTATTCTCCTTGGATTTGTGGCCCCCTCCCCATCCCCTCTGTAACTTTTCTCCTCTGATTTGTAGCCTCCTCCTCCTCTCTCTATAACTCTTTTCCTCTGATTTGTGGCCTCCTCCCCCTTCCCTCTGTAACTCTTTTCCTCAGATATGTGGCCTTCTCCCATTCTTCTCTGTAGCTTTTCTGCTCTGATTTTGTGGCCTCCTCCCCTTCCCCTCTGGAACTCTTCTTCTTCGATTTGTGGCCTCCTCCCCCTCCCCTCTGTAACTCTTTTCCTCAGATATGTGGCCTTCTCCCATTCTTCTCTGTAGCTTTTCTGCTCTGATTTGTGGCCTCCTCACCTTCCCCTCTGGAACTCTTCTCCTTCGATTTGTGGCCTCCTGCCCCTTCCCTCTGTAACTGTTCTCCTCTGATTTGTGGCCTCCTCTCTCTTTCCCTCTTAAGCTCCTCTCTTCAGATTTGTAGTCTTTTCCCCCTTCCCACTGTAACTCTTCTCCTCTGATTTGTGACCTTCTTCCCCCATCCCTCTGTAACTTTTCTGCTTGGATTTGTGGCCTCCTCCCCCATTCCTCTGTAACTCTTCTCTGATATTTGGCCTCCTTCTCCTTCCCTCTGTAACTCTTCTCCTTGCATTTGTGGCCTCCTCCACTTCCCCTCTGTAACTCTTCTCCTTGCATTTGTGGCCTCCTCCACTTCCCCTCTGTAACTCTTCTCCTTGCATTTGTGGCCTCCTCCACTTCCCCTCTGTAACTCTTCTCCTCGCATTTGTGGCCTCCCCCCTTCCCTCTGTAACTCTTCTTCTTGGATTTGTGGCCCCCTTCCCCCTTTCCCTCTGTAACTATTTTTCTCTTATTTGTGGTCTTCTCCAACTTCCCTATGTAACTATTTTCCTCTGATTTGTGGCTCCTTCCCATTCTCCCTGTAACTCTTCTCCTATGATTTGTTGCCTCTTCCCCCTGTAACTCTTCTTCTTGGATTTGTCGCCTCCTCCCCCCCTCCCCTCTGTAGTTCTTCTCCTCAGATTTGTGGCCTCCTTCCCCTCTGCAGCTCCTTTCCTTGGATTTGTGGCCTCCTCCTGCTCCCCTCTGTAAATCTTCTCCTCGGATTTGTGACCTCCTTCCCTCTTTAACACTTCTCAGATTTATGGCATCCTCCTCCTTCCCTCTGTAACTCTTCTCCTCTAATTTGTGGCTCCTACTCCATTTTGCAACCCCCCCATGGTCCTCAACTTCTCTGATGCTCTTCCTTCTTTCCTGTGCCTCACCTTCTCATTGTGAGCCTCTATACCCTTATGTTACTCTCATTCTCCTTATTCTCTGGTCCCTCCTCCTCTCAGGGTTGCTCTCATTTCCCCTCTTTGTGTGACTCTTCCCTCCTCTGGTCCCTCCTCCTCTCCCGGTTGCTCTCATTCCCCTCTTTGTGTGACTCTTCCCTCTCCTCTGGTTCCTCCTCCTCTCCGGGTTGCTCTCATTTCAACCTCTTTGTGTGACTCTTCCCTCCTCTGGTCCCTCCTCCTCTCAGGGTTGCTCTCATTCCCCCTCTTTGTGTGACTCTTCCCTCCTCTGGTCCCTCCTCCTCTCCTGGTTGCTTTCATTCCCTCTTTGTGTGACTCTTCCCTCCTCTGGTCCCTCCTCCTCTCCTGGTTGCTTTCATTCCCTCTTTGTGTGACTCTTCCCTCCTCTGGTCCCTCCTCTCAGGGTTGCTTTTATTCCCCCTTTTTGTGTGACTCTTCCCTCCTCTGGTCCCTCCTCCTCTCCCGGGTGCTCTCATTCCCCTCTTTGTGTGACTCTTCCCTCCTCCTCTCCTGGTTGCTCTCATTCCCCTCTTTGTGTGACTTTTCCCTCCTCTGGTCCCTCCTCCTCTCCAGGTTGCTCTCATTTCCCCTCTTTGTGTGACTCATCCCTCCTCCTCTCAGGGTTGCTTTCATTCCCTCTCTTTGTGTGACTCTTCCCTCCTCTGGTCCCTCCTCCTCTCTGGTGGTTGCTCTCATTCCCTCTCTTTGTGTGACTCTTTCCTCCTCTGGTCCCTCCTCCTCTCTGGGTTTGCTCATTCCCCCTCTTTGTGTGACTCTTTCCTCCTCTGGTCCCTCCTCCTCTCAGGGTTGCTCATTCCCCCTCTTTTTGTGACTCTTCCCTTTTCTGGTCCCTCCTCCTCTTCGGTTTGCTCTCATTCTCCTCATTCTCTGGTCCCTCCTCCTCTCAGGGTTGCTCATTCCCCCTCTTTGTGTGACTCTTCTCTCTTCTGGTCCCTCCTCCTCTCCGGGTTGCTCTTATTCCCCCTCTTTGTGTG